CACCTAGCCTTCGGGTTAGAAAGCAAGGGCCTGATTTGGGAACCTCGTGAACCAACAGACCTCCTTAGTTTATGACTTTGTGAAACAATAAAAGTTTTAAATTGAACATCCAGGTCTGAGCCTGTGCTCAATTCAGTCCTTATATAATTCAGCACGAACTCACACAACACATAGTAAGGCTTTACTGCAATCACAGGGGGGAAAAAAAAGAACTATAGTTTTGTACGTGTTCTCAGTTAGCTTTTATTTTCTATAAAGTATATCAAATGTAATGGGAGACTATGTGGCAGACTGCACAGTTTAGACCTGTATCTGCTGATGTTACATGGTAACTGTTCAGTTACAAGGCATAGGAAAGCTAAAAAGCTTGAATGCACTGCTGCGTAATTGGAAAGGATCGGTCTTTCTCCTTGTGTTTGCACAGCTACCAGAACTCCAATTGAGCTTCTTTCTTCCAAACCTAGCAGAAGAGCAATTTTCTATTGTACTCCCAGTCTGTTTGTGTAATGCTGCCTAAACTGATGTGGAGCTGAAGAAATTGTGCTGCACAAGGTGAGAAAATGTTCAATTAAGTATCCTTATATTAGCAGCATTTGGTGTGTTTTAAGGGGAAAAAATGGAACCTCTGGTCCTCCAAGTTGTCTTGTAGATAATTTCCAGTGTCAATAGCTGCACTGCACACACAGAACCAGCTAAAAAAAATTATTTTTGTAGCCTACTCCCAAGTATGCACAAGACCTTATTATACAAGATAGGCTCTAGTCTAAACTGATGCTTTAATACATTATCCAGATGTGTTGTGCTTTAAGTAAGGAAATAATTAAAATGAAAGAGGCAAGAAAAATGCACTAAACAGGGATTAAAAAAAAATGTTGTAAACAGTCAATTTCACGTGATAAATTGCTGACTACTACTTCCAAAACGTCGAAAAGCAAATCAACCACCACATAATGGAAATAAATACAATCTATAAAATGTTCGGTTTCCACATTCAAGTATTAGAGAACTTATGCAGACTATTTATTTCTGAGATAAATATTAGGCTAAAGACAACTTCTAAAAACAAATCAGTAGAAATATTATCAAGACAAAATAGCTAGTTAAAATATAGGCATGTCAAGCTATGAAGCTTAAATTAGTGCAGATAATTTATAGTAAACCCAGATATCCAGAAATATACACAATAGAATCACCTCAATTTTCATAAAAATTTAGCAGGTAGATGATAAAATTGCACTTAATTCTGAAATCATTCAGATTGCAAGTCATTTCTGTTCCTTGCAAGTGACCTTTATCACATGATTTCCTCCTTTTTCTTACAGAATAACTCAATGCATTTCTATCCTTTCCATTTAATTTTAAACATTTGGTCATGAATAAGGGCAATGTAATTTTACTATCTGTCTTGATTAGTATCAGATTTCTTGACATCTGACACAGAAAGTTCTAGTACAGGATTCACAAATCCAGAATACTCTGAATTGCCATTATCATCCATCTCGGCACTAACAAAATCATTCTCCCATTCCAACCCATTTGATTCATCAGAAGCCGACGTTGGATTACTTCCAGTCTTTTTGCTGCCAAATTTTAATGCTGCTCGGAGTATATCTTCTTCTGTCTTAGAGCGCTCTCTCAATGGGATCATTCTGTTCATGCCTACAATTTAAGAGAACTTTCTGCAAAGCCATAAATTTTTTTTTGGGGGGTGGGGGGGTGGGGTGAAAAAGGGAGTGAAAAATATGCTTCCACATTTGAGCTAATGAACAAAAACATTATGATCCAGATTCTGATAATTCTGCTTGTATTGACTCTTACTTTATATTCCAATCAAATATGGTTCACATCACTGTAAAGAAAAAAATTATATTTTTAACACTTAAAAGGCAAAGAAACAGTTTAAGAGGACCAGTTCTTATTGGTAATCTCAAATCTAATCCATTGGCCTTTTCTACATGAAAACAATGTAAATGTTAAAAACTTCCTGGTATGAAAGCTATCAACTCCTCTTTAATCTTGTGGTCTACAGCAGTGGTCTCTGAAGTGGGGTGCACGCACCCCAGGGGGTGCGCAAGACGATTTATTGGGGTGCACAAAGAAAATATTAGAACTTGTATTTTTATTTTTTATCTAAGAAAATTAGAAGGAAATTAAGCTTTACTAATATTTAATATACAGATTGACACTGGCGCCCTCACTCAGTCCGTATGTCGGATGGTCACGTACGGTATCCTGAGGGAAGAAGCGTTTGTTCACTTTCAGTGTACTGCGACATATTGCAGTTTACGTGTGCCCGGTTAAGTGGATTTACGAATTATATTTTCTAGTTTTAACTAAACTAACCCTCACAAAATGGACAAGTGGCTTAAAAAGATTCCTGCAAAGAAACTGTGGATTGAAGATAATACTAATAAAGCGAGCACAAGCAAACAGCAAGAAAATAGCAGAGCTGACACTTCTACTCCTAGTACGAGCTCTTTGTCAGCCACATTACAAGGTAAAAACTAAATAATATTTTTTTTAGTGAGAGCAAAAAGGTTTTTTGTACTGTTAATAAATACATAAAAATAAAAATATTTTAAAAATATTGTTCATCTTTCTCTCATCCTTTTTTAATTTCTGTTTTTTGTCTATGTTTTATAATGTACATAAAAAGTTAGTACAGTAGTACATGTATATAATTTATAAATAAATAAATATACATATTGGGGGTGCATGCTCAAAATTTTTTTTACTGATAGGGGTGCACAATCAAAAAAGTTTGGAGACCACTGGTCTACAGAAATGGATTTGCTTCTAGAGATTTCAAAAAAATCTGCACCCAGTAAAACATCTTAAACAGATTGTCCAGTTTAGCGACTCTATTCCCCTGATGCATTAACCACTGTTCTTTTATGCACAAAGGGCAAATTTAAAATATACCCAATGCCAAACTGATCAGAAACTTGCAAGGCAGAGGTTTTTCAAAAGATAGTATTAATTACATAGCTAATATGTATGTCACTGGGAGAAACAGCCAAGTTCCTCTCCAAATGGAAAGAAGCAAGATAGCCTTATTGTTCCCTTTGATTTAATCAGTCAAGTTTCTTCTACCTTCCTAATTAACTTCCTGCCATTTTAAACTGACTTCAATATTGCAAGCAAAAAAGAACTGTTATTTGCATAAAACCCATTTGTCACTTGACTACAGGAAAGAGCTACATCTAACTCCCTATACTTGTGAAGCACAGATATATTTCAGTCTGATTGTTCTTTAGCTATTGATGGTTCACTAAAGGTGTCCTCAAGAAAAATATATACCATTTCACAATTTATATTTGTCAGCAGGATGAAGTTAAACATGTTGCCTTATTGCACATTCCTCTATGCTACATGTACTTGGCAGCTTGTGAGCCATAAAAATATTCAGAGTAAGAATAAGCTACTAGACCCAAAGGCAGCTTTGTACCTACTTCAAAATTTAATCCTTCACATAACTACATCCCATTTGTCTTC